TGATGCGACTCAACAGCAGTGTGTTTGGTTTTTGGCTTAGTTTATTTAACACAACACCCAAAATGGCTAATAAACAATATTTGCTAAGTGTATTAGAAGCCTAAGACATTAGACTGCTAACCAGAAGGCTGGCGGTTCAAACCCACCAGGCACTCCTCAGAAGGAAGGTTGGGCAATCTACTTCTGTAGGGATACCTCCTCAGAAACCCAAGGAGGGGTCACTATGAGTCAGATCCGACTCAACGGCAATGAGTTGTTTTTATTTGTTGTTGTTGGTTAGAAGCCCTGGTTGCATAGTGGTTAAAGCACTCAGCTGCTAACCAAAAGGTCAGCTGTTCAAACCCATAGGTGCTCTGTGGAAGAAAGATGTGGCAGTCTGTTCCCATAAAGTTTTACAGCCTATGGAACAGTTCTGTGTGATACAGTGTTGCTTTATAGGAGTCAGAAGCAGTTCAGTGGCAGTGCGTTTGGTCTTTTGATTATATTCATTTGTGTGACAGGAGGTGATTCAGGAACAGAGTTCTTCATGGGACAGTTTAATGATGTTATAATTAGTCTTCTTCCTAACTTAAAAAGCAGGCCCTTTGTTTGTGAAATTATTCACAAAACTTAATATTTTTGATTTGTACACATTTCTAGTAATTTTCATGGAAGATCATTTGAGAAATGTTTTACTTTCTACAGCATTTCTTTACAGTAAAACTCAGAATATTAGTGAGCACAAAGAAAATTTCAACAAATTTTGTTCATGTCTTTTTAAGGAGTAAAGTTAAGAAGTATTTGAAATTTTTTCTCTAGCTCATTTATCAAACAGGGGAAAGAAATATTTTTTCAACTTACTTATCTTTGGAATAAATATGTTGCCAGTCCTTCCTTTGACCAGTTACTTTTTTATTAACTCCAGATCCACTTAGTATGGTATGACTAAAGAGGCTGAAACAAGATGTTAGGGAATTTTTTTTCTTTCCTTGATTCTCTTACTGGTCTCTAAATAATAACTCAGGCAGGCATCTGGAGGATTTATACTGCAACTTAATGTGCAAATTCTATAACTAAAATGGGACTAAAAATATTTTCAAAAGAAATCAGGAGTATATTTTGGGGATCACAAGTTTCTTAAAAAGCCACAAGTTGCATTTAACAAGAAATTATGTATTTGATTTATTTTGTAACCATCACATACAAGTCAGTATCATGTGTTACATGCTGTGGGGACAGAATTCTTACTTATAAAACCACTTTTCTTCAGTTGTAACTAATACGTTACTTTTTAGAATTAGGATGACTTGAACCATCGTAAAGATATATATATGTGTGTGTGTGTGTGTGTGTGTATGTTGTTGTTGTTATGTGCTGTCGAGTCGGCCCCGACTCATAGCGACCCCTCCTTGGGTTTCGGAGGCGGTATCACTACAGAAGTAGGATTGCCCAACCTTCCTTCCAAGGAGTGACTGGTGGGTTTGAACCACCAGCCTTCTGGTTAGCAGTCAAGTGCCTTAGCCACTATGCTACCAGAGCTCCTATGTGTGTGTATATACACACACACACACACACACACATATGAATTCTTTACCCTCAGTCTACCTCTTGGAGGAATTAAATCACATTTGGATAATTAGGGGCAATTATTTGAATCATTGTTTTGGTGGATGAGATTTTCATACAATGGGAAGATTCTAATCTGTGAAATTATTTTTCCCTAATTTTCTAAAATGGGTATGTTGAGAGTGTTTTATAGCAAAAAGAAGTGATAGTTTATAGAAAGTAATGAAATAGTGTCTTCAGAAGTTCATGCTCTGTTGTTACTTAAAAACAAACGTCTGCTCTTTGTGCCTGTCATCACCATTTTGAAATCTCAAAAACTTGCAATGCCAACGTATGTTTCAACAACCTTTTGGTTACTAACACTATTTTGGCAGAGGTATTATGTTGGAGATAAAGGAAGAAGTAATAATTTGTATCTTTTTAATGCTTCACTTTAATATGACTACATCATTAGAGATTTTATTTAAGGATTTGTGAGTCCCTCACTTCCACTTTTAATTGCTGTCTTTTCTCCAACATGATCATTGTCATCATTACTCTTAGTATTACTGAAATAAAGGACAGTATGCCATTCCAGGGTCTCTGTCTACTCTAAATTCCCAATCAAATCCAAAGTCATCTTTATGTGTCAGCATTTTTCCATTTTAATGTTATTTAAATCATGTTTCTGCCATTTTCTTGTATATTTATAAATTTAGATATCAGAAATTTGAGAAACTTTCTGAACGAAAGAGAAACTAAAATAGTTACCTTTTGTGTGGATAAATTTCATTCTCACTTAACTACAGGAACAAGAATACATTTTGTTAATGCCATTTTTTCTCTTTTGAATTTTTCCTTACAAAATGACCAAAAGTCACTATGTAAACAAAATGTTAATAAACTGTTTACACGAAGTTAATAACTTCGTGTAAATAGTTAATAGGATTTTTTAATGATTCATCATTTAATTAAAATCTAAAACTTCAAATCAGAGCTCTATAAAATGATATGCCTCTCATTCATCAATATATAAACAGCTGGTTTGAATTGCTTTACTTTAGTGCACTTTTTAAATTAGACATTCAGGCATTTAGTTTTTTCTTCAAATTCAGAGTGAGATTTTTAAGCGATTAGGGTTTTTGTTGGTGGTGCTTTGCTTTGTTTTAAAGTCTCTGTGAGTGTCGTTTATGAATTAATACATTTTTTTCCCTTTTCTCTTGCCTTAGTAGAGTGAACACAAATTTAATAAACACAAATCCTTGCACCAGCAAACAGCCTTTTATCAAAATCAGTTATTTTTGAAACCCCACAAATTAACAGGTTCATGTTCTCCAGATGTTTTCGGTTCCTATGTTTAAAGGGCTTGTTAATATTACTGCTGACTTACTTACAATCAATATTTTGAGCTAGATTGATTTCTAACTTTTTAACATCATCTTCAGGTGTGTTTTCAGGGACAGTCTTATGTTCTTAGATTTGAGATTATCAAAGCAATTTCTATATAGAACAATTTTCTAGAATAATTAGGAAGTAAACTAGAGATCCTTAGAAAGCTCAGAACATATTTGCTTCTTGTTTGTTGTTATTGATAGGTGCTGTAGAGTTGGTTCAGACTCATAATGACCCTGTGTACAACAGAACAAAATCCTGCACGGTCCTGAGCCATCTTCACAATCATTAGAACCCATTGTTGCACCACTGTGTCAGTCCATCTCATTGAGGGTCTTCCTCTATTTTGCTGACCCTCTACTTAACCAAGCATGATGTCCTTCACCAAGGACTGTTCCCTTCTGATAACATGACCAAAGTACATGAGACAGAGTCTCACCATCCTTGTTTCCATGGAGCATTCTGGCCATGCTTCTTCCGAGACAGATTTGTTCATTCTTCTGGCAGTCCATGGTTTAATCAATATTCTTCACCAACACCATTATTTAAATGCATCAATTCTTCAGTCTTCCTTATTCATTGTCCAGCTTTTGCATGCATATGAAGCATTTGAATATACCATGGCTTGGTCAAGTATACTTTAGCCTTGGCTTTTTAATACTTTAAAGAGTACTTTGTAGTAGATTTGCCCAAGCAGTACGTCATCTGATGTCTTGACTGCTGCTTCCATGGGTATTGATTGTGGATCCAAGTAAAATGAAATCCCTGACAACTTCAGTATTTTCTCTTTATCATGATGCTGTTTATTGTTCTAGTTGTGAGGATTTTTGTTTTGTATATGTTGACCTGTAATCTATACTAAAGGTTTTAGTCTTTGATCTTCATCAGTAAGTAGTCAAAGTCCTCTTCATGTATAGCAAGCAAGATTGTGTCATCTGCATATCACATGTTGTTGAGAGTCTTCCTCCAATCCTGATGCCGTGTTCTTGATATAGTTCAGCTTCTCAGATTATTTGCTCAGCATACAGATCAAATAAGTATGATGAAAGGATACAAACAAATTCTCTTTGATCACTTTTCTTTGGAATGAGCACAAATATGGATCTCTCTCTGTCAGCCAGGTAGCTGTCTTCCAAATTTCTTGGCAAAGACAAGTGAGAGCTTCCAGTGTTGTATCTATTTGTTGAAACATCTCAATTGGTATTCTGCAAATTTTTGGATCCTTGTTTTTCACCAGTACCTTCTGTGCAGCTTGGACTTCTTCCTTTAATACCATTGGTTCTTGATCATATGCTACCTCCTGAAAAGGTTGAATGTCAATCAATTATTTTTGGCACAGTGATTCCGTATATTCTTTCCATCTTCTTTTTACGCTTCCTGGGTCAGTCAATATTTTGCCCATTGAATTCTTCAAAATTGCAGGCTTGGATTTTTTCTTCAGTTCTTAGGGCTTGAGAAAAGCCAAGTGTGTTGTTCCCTCTGGATTTCTAACTCCAGGTCTTTGCACATTTTAATACTCTACTTTGTCTTCTCAAGTCGCCCTTTGAAATTTTCTATCCACGTCTTTTAAATTATCATTTCTGCCATTCACTTTAGCTACTCTACATTGAAAAGCTAATTTCAGAGTCTCTTCTGACATCCATTTTGGTCTTTCATTTCTTTCCTGTCTTTTTAATGACCTTTTGCTTTCTTTGTGTGCAATATTCTTGATGTCATCCTACAACTCATCTGGTCTTCAGTCATTATTGTTCAGTGGGTCAAATCTGTTCTTCAGTTGGTCACTAAATTCAGGTGGGATATAATTAAGATCATACTTTGGCTCTCATGGACTCCATTTAATGTTCTTCAGCTTCAGTTTGAACGTGCGTATGAGCAATTGATGGTTAGTTCCACAGTAGGCCCCTGGTCTTGTTCTGATTGATGATACTGGGCTTGTTGTTTAGATAAACTACGTAACTCTATAGTTTATTTTGGTTGTGAATACATGGAAACCATAGTCGATATGTCTTTTTTCTTTTTTTAAGCAAGCATATGTAATACAAATATTCTTACAAGACAAAATTTGTTTTTATGTGTATTTTCAGTGAAAGAGTTTCTAGCCAAAGCCAAAGAAGACTTTTTAAAAAAGTGGGAAAATCCTGCTCCGGTAAGGAATATTTCAAATTTTCTGATTTAAAAATCCTATGTTAAGTAAAATCATTATTTTTGCAAGTAATTTAGCAGTTCAGAAACTTTAATTTTCAAGTAGTGTTAGTAAACATAAGCTTAAAATATGAATTTTGCCATAATATTTTGCTTTTATATATTAAGTAATAATTTTATGTCAACTTAAATTGGAGAATGAACTAATTTCCAGTTAAATATCTGACTATAAATTTTGATACTCAAACCAAGTTGCCACAAGCTCTTGGTATTTTCTAATATTACAATGATTTTGACTTATGCCTTTAATAGCATTCTTATTGTTATTAATAGCAACAATAGGGATGCTGTGGTGCCATTTCAAAATATTAACCACAAATACTTGGCTATTAGCAGTATTTTATAGTATACAGACATTGTTTTATAAACACTCTGATGGGGTAAATTCTATATAAGTACTTCAGATCTTAACTAAGATCTGAAAAATGTATATAGAAAAAACATCTAAACTTTCAAAAAAAGAAATTTCTTTTGGGGGTTGAAGATAATTAATGAACTTCAATTACAGATTAAATTTTGAAAACCATTTTTCCCAGCACATAAAAACCTTAATTTCAATGAATTTTTTTTCCACTAAAGTACATTTAATTCAAAATAGGTATAGTGTTCCATGGGGACACTATCCTTATCAAGTTTTAAAACATAAACATAGCCATATGGTGATTACAAGAAGATAGACATTATATAACATGAAACATTAACAGAACTGTGAATGGTAGCATGTTTTTTATTATACAAAGTACTACTTAAAAGAGATGTTCTGTTGTCCATTAATGAAGTTTGTTCTAATATTTGGTTGTGACTATATTAAACATTTTAATTCATCTATTGATATTAATTAAATCATATTATATTAAAGTGATATGTTGATAAAACTATAAATTACATATTAATTGATAAAACTAAATAATCAATTCAGAATTATAAGGATTTTTTTCTGCATTGATATAGAATCTCATAGTAATTTTAAATTATTGGAAATAAGAAACTAAAATATGATGAAAACAAGTTTTATAAGTAAAACTTTCCTAGAAGAGTTACTTTCTCTATAATGATCCACCAAGAAGCTTTGGAAACAATACTGTCTACAAAAGCAAAATTTGATTTGCACTAGATACCATATCAACTATGGTAAACTCCAGTAGGTATCTAGATTCCTCACTTACATATACATCATATTGTATCACATTTTTCTCAAGCTAAGCTCTTTATAGATTGGCCCTTGGAAATATTTTTTCCAAGATTTTCATGGGAATCTTCTTATTAAAAACCTGGTAAACAAATGGGTCACCAATTACTACTTGTTGCTATTTAGCACATAGATAATTTGTTCCTAGTAATTTTCATTTTGCTGTGGCAGCAACAAATTTAAAAGATTGCTTCCTCCAACTCTTTGCTTCCGTGCTGTAGTCAAAGCCAAACAAAAGATGTTTGCTCAAAACAAAACCTCTGTTCAGTGAGAATAAAAGTCTACTTATTATTCTAGCACACTGACTTTTGGTTATCTTGGTGGGAATGAGGAACTCTTCTTTCTTTATTGTTACTATTTTAGATAATACTGGGTTATTATAACATCAGAAAGAGAGAGCCACTAAGATCTTACATGCTGCTATTATCTAGTTGTAGAGTTCTATAGCTCATATAAGGAGCTCTGGTAGCATAGTGCCTATGGCACTTGACTGCTAACCAGAAGGCTGGCGGTTCAAACCCACCAGCCACTCCTCGGAAGGAAGATGGGGTAATCCTACTTCCGTAGTGATACTGCCTCGGAAACCCAAGGAGGGGTCGCTATGAGTTGAGTCCGACTTGAGGCACATAACAGCATAGCTCATATAAAGACAGAAATGAAGTGCTTTCCTTACAGGTAACTCCAGTGAAAGGACAGTCCTTTAGTTTACCTTTTCATTACCATTATTTTTTGTTGTTGTTGTTATGTGCCGTTATTTGCAGGTGCACAAAAGGTGTTGTTGTTGTTATGTACCATTATTTGCAGGTGCACAAAGACTGTATGGCTTACATGACTGTCTGTCAGTATACTTCTGGTCTGTTTGTAATTATTAAAATACAAAAGTAATTTATTAGAAGTCCAATTCTACAAATTTATATTTCAGCTAAGGTTCTCACTTCCTCCCTTTACTCTTACCTTTTGTTTTGTGATAAAATTATCTTCTCAATTATTAGATCCTTTCTTATTCTAAGGGGAAAATAGAATCAATAATATGGAATCTCAATATTCTTTCCATATTGTTTATTTAAAAAAAGCAGTTGACAATTAAATGATTCATTCTTATTACATATTACTAAACTATTATTATAATCTTCTTATGAGAACCTCTAATTATACTTTATTTTATTTTTTCACATACATATAGAATAATGCCGGGCTCGAGGATTTTGAAAGGAAAAAAACCCTTGGGACAGGTTCATTTGGAAGAGTCATGTTGGTGAAACATAAAGCCACAGAACAGTATTATGCCATGAAGATCTTAGATAAGCAGAAGGTTAGTGCATCATTATTTACCGACAGGGTAGACTCGAGTTTTATCATCTAGAATATTCAAGCAATGCAGTATGATCGACTTAGCATTGACAGCATCAAATAATTTTAGTGTTGCATTCTATTTTCATTCTTATTTATTGTGACTACATGATACATAGTTAATAGTTTTAGCGTATGGGGGTATATTATTATTATTATTATTATTATTTATATATAATATTTTACTAACACCATACTGGGTGGCGTAGTGCCTAAGGCATTTGACTGCTAACCAGAAGGCTGGTGGCTCAAACCCACCAGCCACTCCTCAGAAGAAAGATGGGGCAATCTACTTCCATAGTGATACTGCCTCGGAAACCCAAGGAGGGGTCACTATGAATCAGGTCCAGCTTGACAGTATATAACAACAACAACAACAAAAAAAAAACTGAATTAAATATGTAAAGAACAAGCATTGCTCCTAAATTCTGCTGTATAGAAAAATTCAGGGACAAATTAACAAGTAACAGATACTTCATAATTTTAGTTATGCCTTATTTTAATTATAATAGAAACCCTTTTATTAACATGATTGGGTTTGATTAATTCAAATTGTCAGTTAAAGCAAGGAAAGATTTTTAAAAACTACATACTATAACAAACAATTTTTAAGTGTGTATTATATATACTTAATAGAGCATAATATCTGAATTAATCATGCCTTAAATATTAAGCTTCTAATTTCCTAGTAATTACTTAAAATTAAGGAAAGGAAAAAAAATTGGCAAATCTTGATATAGTATCTTATAGATACTATGTTCCAAGAATGATTTTTTTTTGCTTATTGGTATATGTTGTTGTTGTGTTGTTATGTGCTGTCGAGTCGGACCCGACTCATAGCGACCCCTCCTTGGGTTGCCGAGGCAGTATCACTACGGAAGTAGATTGCCCCATCTTCAACAACAGTATTGGTATATAGGTAGCAAAATGTGGAATAAATTGTACTGAACTAATAATCTGGGTTATAGACCAATGGCTAGATCAGTGCTGTCCAGTAGAAACATAACATGAGTTACATACGTAACTTTAAATTATCCAATAGCCACATTAAAAAAAAAAAGGTAAAAAGAAACAAGTGAAATTAATTTTATCATTCCACCATGTAATTACTGTAAAATTTAATGAGATATTTTACATTCTTTTTTCCACACTCCATCTTCAAAACCTGATATGTATTTTATACTTGTAGTCTAACTGCTAATTAAAATAAATAAGTAAAATTAACCTAATATAAAATGAAATAATGGCTTAAGTCTCTGTAACATTTAGTATTTCATACATACACTCTTAATTGTACATCTGTGTCTGTTGCCCTCTCTCATGTTTATTTTCTAACCATACTTCTTGAAAAAAATAACATAATTGCTATCTCTGGTAGCATAGTGCCTAAGGCACTTGACTGCTAACCAGAAGACTGGTGGTTCAAACCCACCAGCCAGTCCTCAGAAGGAAAATGGGGCAATCTACTTCTGTAGTGATACTGCCTCGGCAACCCAAGGAGGGGTCGCTATGAGTCAGGTCCGACTCAACGGCACATAACAACAACAACAATTCTTCAACCCACAATTTAGTTGCCGGCTCATTTATCCCTCACCTCTTACTATTCCACTGAAATGGCTCTGCTGAGAGTCACCAAATCCAGTGACCTAATTGCCAAGTCCAATGGACTCTTTTTGCTCATCTTATTTTGCTTTAGAACATATGACTGTCCTGACCACTTCCTTGAAACTGTTTTCTCTCTGGACTTCAGGGACACCATGCTCTCCTGATTATGCTTCTGCCTCTCTGAGCTCTTTTTTCTGTTCCTTCTTCTCTTTTATCTGTTCTATACCTTCTCCCTGCATACTTTCTCTAACAGCTTCAACTCTTTCCTGAGCTCAGCACCTAATTTATATGTACCATCTGAGCATGAAGGAGCTCTGATGGTGTAGTGCCTAAGCTATTTGACTGCTAACCAGAAGGCTGGCGGTTCAAACCCACCAGCCGCTCCTCGGAAGGAAGATTGAGCAATCTCCTTCTGTAGTGATAACCACCTCAGAAACCCAAGGCGAGGTCGCTATGAGTTGGATCCAACTCGACGGCAGTGAGTTTTTTTTTTTTTTTTTGTCGTCGTTGTTGTTGTTTTTCGGTTTTTATCTGAGCATAGAGCTCTTAGAGACTGTCTAGTCTTTCCTTCACTTTCTAGCTGAGGTATTTAGGTATCAGAATGGGTAAGTGACTTTCATACTTGTCTTGGTAGCAGAACAACAACAAAATGCTTCTGATTTATCTTTTTCTTAAACCTATCATTAAAATTTTTGTTATCTGGATAATCCCTCATCTTTTATGGTACCTTTCTTCAAGAATTAACATAATATAGTTTATTTATAAAATACTAAGAAGATTATAAAATATGCCACATTTTATGCATTAAATTACTTTTAGAAAAGAAGTTTTTAATTGCTTTGTTGTTGTTGTTGTTGTTGTTATGTGCCCTCGAGTTGGACCCAACTCATAGCAACCCCTCCTTGGGTTTCCGAGGTGGAATCACTACGGAAATAGATTGCCCAACCTTCTTTCCGAGGAGTGGCTGCTGGGTTTGAATCACCAGCCTTCTGGTTAGCAGTAAAATGCCTTAGGCACTATGCTACCAGAGCTCCTTTAATTGCTTTAGTGACTTGTTAAGTAAATTACTGAGAAGGTTACCTCTTGGATAAATCATGGCAAATGAATATTTCCCAGAGTAATAGCTGCTATTTTTAACACAGGCCTACTGACTCTCTGTCAATTATATTTTCCTTAGTAGTATTTTTATACTGCTAATTTTAATATACCAATAAGTGACTCGTAGCTTTAATTACCTTTCTTATTCATGTTTAGCTTCTTGATTTCTGTGACTACCACACATTGACATTAAGCCCCTGGCAAGAATGAATATCTTCTATTGATTTATATGTTTATGACATTTATTTATTCCTGAGGTTACCTTTTCTCAAAGTCAAAATAGAATCAAATATGGGATAAAATCAAAGTCTTTATAGTCAAGATAAATTGCTTTCCCCTTTTGTGTAACTAAGGAGCCCTGGCAGTACAGTGGTTAAGTGTTTGGCTGCTAACAGAAAGGTTGGCAGCGGTAACCCACCAGCCACTCTGAGAGAGAAAGATATGGCAGTCCACTTCCATAAAGATTACAGCCTTGGAAGCCCTATAGGGCAGTTCTATTCTGTCTTCTAGGGTTTCTGAGAGTTGAAATGACTAGATGGCAATAGGTTTGGGTTTGGGTTTTTCTATGTATCTGATTAAACAGACAATCCAAAGAAAGCTTGATTAATCCTAATGGACCCAATTGTTATGGAGACATAGGGATTTCTTGCCAATATTAAGTGTGTCCTCTGCAGTATTTTGTGTGGCTATGTAAATTCCTTTTTTTAGAATATGTCCAGTGTTTATTCAGGTATTATGAAATGAATAGATTGTTCATTTACCCACTATTTATTTTTTAGTTACTGGCCTTTGCTCTGTTCTTATTTTCCTTACCGATCTTCTGAAGTATTTAAAATCAGTACCTACTTATTTCAGTGATTTGGATCAGCTTCTTTAGTGGGCTGTAAATCATTAGTAGCTACATATTTTCACCTATTACATTTTTAAGTAATTTATCATGAATGAAAAATATCCTATTCCCACTAAGCTTCCTCTTCTTAAACAATATCTTGACTGAAATCATAGTTGACCTTCTTAAGACTAGTTTTAAATCCTCTGTTAGCTTTTGTATTTGAAACTTATAAGCCTGATTAGTAATTATTATTATCATCCTTATCCAATTCTAGTGATTTTGCTAATCCAAGTTCACTATCATAGGGAAAGCATTTTATCATATTATTTCTTTTAAAAGGTAGTTTGTTATTCAAACACATCAAATGTATTTATTTCTCAATTGCAGGTTGTTAAACTGAAGCAAATAGAGCATACTTTGAATGAGAAAAGAATATTACAGGCAGTGAATTTTCCTTTTCTTGTTCGGCTGGAATATTCTTTTAAGGTAAATTTTAGTAATATCCAAATAAAATATTTTCAAAATGATAAATATTTTAAAAATATGTAGCTATAATAAGATTCTCAATGAGATGATGAACCTGAAAATTATGAAAAAGTAAAAAAAGAAATATCTTTAGGATTTATGTAATTAAATCCTGTTGTGCTTATAAACTTAGGCAACATTTGAAAAGGTTTTGGTTCTCCCTGGGGAAATTGTTCAAAGTGACATGTGTAACTCTTCATGAGATGGTATTATTATCTAACTTAAAAGGAGCTTGCACCCAAAGATTTGGTTATTACTAATAAGATCTCATAGTCATTGAAACTGATTGTAAATTCTGTTTCAAAAACCTTAGTGATATTTTAGTAAGTGATTATTACACTCTCGCAAATGAATATACCCACATATGTTCGTCAGCTTTCTTTGAATACTTATGCTTCTATCTCACCTTTTTTACTTAGTAATTTGTGTTGCAGCTTTTATGTATGTATGTGTGTATGTGTGAGTATATATATGTGTGTGTGTATATATATAAAGCAGAATAATTTTTGACACACTGTTCAAGTGTCTCATAAAATTTCACAAAAATTTGATTTTTGAATTGGCAGTTTTTCAGTTCTGTAGAATAACACTTGGCGGTTCTCTGCAATATTGATTCAGATGAAATATTTTAACCTTTTCTCTGTTTCTTTATTCTTTAAGTCAGATGAAGACTTATGTATTTAAGATTCTATTAACATTATTAATCTCTCTGATCTGGTACACTACATAAAATGTGGGTATCACTATTACATTTTTCAAGTTGTTTTCAACTTTGTTATTTCTTTGCATGCATTATAGTATTTCTATCATTGGTTCAATGTTTAATTGTTTGAGAATTAAATGTTCCCTGCAAAAGCAGAACCAGCAAAAATCCCATACTAATTTGTGACAAGAATACAAAAAAATAAATGAGTACCCCTTTAGGAAGGAAGGTTGGGCAATCTACTTCCATAGTGATACTGCCTCAGAAACCCGAAGAGGGGTCGCTATGAGTCCGATCTGACTGGATGGCAGTGAGTTATTTGGTGGTATAGTGCCTAAGGCCTTTGACTACTAACCAGAAGGATGGCAGTTCAAATCCACCAGCCACTTCTCAGAAGGAAAGTTGGGCAATTTACTTCCGTGGTGATACCACCTCAGAAACCCAAGGAGGGGTTGCCATGAGCCGGATCTGACTTGACAGCAGTGGGTGGTGGTGGTGGGTACTATAGAAAAGCTAGAGTACTATTCACTTCATTGTGTTTTCTAATATTTATCCATCTAATGGATATTAAATATGCTTTTTTTTTTTTTAATTGAACATAGTATAATCTTAAGAAGCTCTGGTATAGTGGTTAAGGCATTTGGCTGCCATCTAAAAGATTGATGGTTCCAGCCCATCAGCTGCTCCATGGAAGAAGGATGAGGCAGTCTGCTTCCATAAAGATTTACAACCATGGAAACTCAATAGGGGTCGCTATGAGTCGGAATCGACTCTATAGCATGAGTTTGTTTTTGTTTTTGTTTGAAATTGGTATAATCTTAAAGTATTTTTTCAAGAATAATCTAGGTTATGTAATTTCAGTTTACTAATTCTTTTTATTTATTCATAGGATAATTCTAATTTATACATGGTTATGGAATATGTCCCTGGGGGTGAAATGTTTTCACATCTAAGAAGAATTGGAAGGTTCAGGTAAAAAATGCTGTTTCTCTCCTCATATATTTATTTTGTTTGTTGTAAATTTTTAAATGCCAAAAAATTATTTCATTTAATTTAGTAATATCTTACCTATAGAAAGCATATGTAGAACATTAAAAAGAAATTTTAAATAAAAATACCATGAAGCCAATTTAAATATTCTTCATTGGTAAATATTTTAAGGGTCCATTAGTTGAAGAGTTTGTAAAATGCAAAATTAATTTAATTTTAAAATACAAATATGTATTGTACTGTTCATTAATACAACTCTGGGGAAGAGGTTTGAGTAAAATGAAGATTAAAAAAGAATTTATGGAAATGATAGTAGTGGTATCAAGTGATGAGATTATGAAAGTTTGCTTCAAATTTAGTTCTCCTTAAAGTCATTATGGTGAGTTCTTAAAATAACTTAAAAGGAGCTTGCACCCAAAGATTTGGTTATTACTAAAAGATCTCATAATCATTAAAACAGATTATAAATTCTGGTAGCATTACTAGTATGTGAGTTTTTATATTACTTCTTGTTGTTATTCTCCATCGAGTCGGACCCGACTCATAGTGACTCCTCCTTGGGTTTCCAAGGCAGTATCACTATGGAAGTAGATTGCCCCATCTACTGTTCGTTAATAATCACTAATAGAATGAAACTGAAACCAAGAAAAGGTCCAGCTTCATTTACTACATTATATATTGACATAGTTAAAACAGAAGTAGAAACTCAAACAGTACTGCTATTTCGATTATACTACAACTAATGAGGGAGCTCTGGTAGCATAGTGGTTAAGGCACTTGACTGCTAACCAGAAGGCTGACAGTTCAAACCCACCAGCCACTCCTCGGAAGGAAGATGGGGCAGTCTATTTCCGTAGTGATACTGCCTTGGAAATCCAAGGATGGGTCGCTATGAGTCAGGTCCAACTTGATGGCACGTAACAACAACAACAACACAACTAATAAGGGGTCTTGGGTGGCACGAACAGTTAAGTACTTGACTACTAGCCTAAGGGTTGGCAATTCATCCAGAGGCACCTCAGAAGACAGGCCTGATGACTGCTTCCTAAAAGTCTCCCTTGGAAACCCTACAAAATAGCTCTACTCTGCACATACAAGGTCTCTATGAATCAGAATTGACTCAATGGCAGGCCAACAACTAATGATGGTAATTCAGTTTATAAAAAGATATGATAGATTTGGATTATCACAAAATGATATGATGTTCAGTGATAAACAAACATTTTAGTCACCTGGGGCCTAAGCCAAAATTCATTTGTTGACCTAATATATGTAGGGTGCCTATTAGGTATCAGGAAGTGTGCTAATGCAAAGTAACTTTTGTTTATCTTTGATGATTCTCTTTTACCTCTTACTATCCTCTCTCCAGAAGGCTGGCGGTTCAAACCCACCAGCCACTCTTCGGAAGGAAGGGTAGGCAATTTACTTCCGTAGTGATACAGCCTCGGAGACCCAAGGAGGGGTCACTATGAGTCGGGTCCAACTTGATGGCACATAACAACAACATCCTTTCTCCAGGTTTCTAGTGACATAGTGGTTAAAGCATTTGGCTGCTAACCAAGAGATCTGCAGTTTAAATCCACCAGCCACTCTGAAGGAGAAAGATAAGGCAGTCTGTTTCCATAAAGATTTACAGCCTTGGAAACCTTATGAGGCAGTTCTACTGTCTTACAGTTGACAGTGGATTTGGTGGTGTCTATCTCTGCTACCACCCCTTGTCCAAGCAGGCCTAGAATCATAAAGTTCCACCTTTAAACTTGTCCTCCAAAAATATTTTGGTCATTTTCTGTGATTATTCACTTCTCTTTGCAACTCTCGACAATGTAATTTCTTCAATAATTGGCTTGGTACTAGGAGGAAAGCAAGTTAATCAACATAATTAACACTAAGACACTATCTTTTCTAACATTTCACACATATTATATATACCCTTTCTATTTAAATGTATCATGAAAGGCCCTGGAAACCTTGAAGTAAGGAGAATACTGAGTTACTGTTGAGCATGATTTTAATCAGAATCTATGGAGTCATTATGATTCTCTACTTAAGTAGCAGGTGTCTGGATTTAAAGTTGCTACAGTATTACACTTTCCTGATATCACCCTGTATTCCCTTAAATGTTAACTATAAATATGTAATAACAAATTGCACTTGGAATATTTTACCTTCATTTATTAACAATTTGATATATGTATCTATATAATTTCTGTATTTCTCCAATCACTGTTGTTGTTGTTGTATGTGCCATCGAGTTGGACCAATTCACAGCGACCCCTCCTTGGGTTTCCGAGGTGTTATCACTACGGAAGTAGATTGCCCAACCTTCCTTCCAAGGAGTGGCTGGTAGGTTTGAACCACCAGTCTTCTGGTTAGCAGTCGGATGCCTTAGGCACTACACTACCAGAGCTCTCCAAACAATAGTGTGTGTAAATAAACATAAAATGCTAAGGGCTTATGTAGAAAAATTAGGAGGAGCCTTTCCAGGTCAAATGCTTCCAATTTTAGGGAAAAATGTTACTAGTGATCAGAGTTATTCTCCCAATATCTTCTTATAATGTTCCCTTTACCATTTAGCATATCTTGTGGGTTTTTACAGTGTTGGGATGGGGCTGAGACTGAATGGGTATTATAAAATGCCACTCCCCCAAAAAAGTATTTTCATTCAGTTGACACATATTTATTGAGCACCTGATGTGTATCAAGCTATGACTTGGGAAATATAGGACAAGTGTACATAAGTTTTTCTCGGAATTTCAATTTCTGGTGCTACTAAATCAGACTCATGCTAACCATCTTAAGAGCAATCCTATTCATAGTTAAGGTTGTCCATTGGTAAAACAAATCTAAATGCCATTGCAACTTAGCAGGTAAATTAGCAGAATTCAGTAAATGTACTAGAAGATGAAATAGAATCTCAGATTAGAACATCAGTGCATCCTTTTGGAGTAATAATCTGAATATAGCATCAAAATGGCAGCAATATATCAATTGAGCTAATCTATGTATGCAAAAACTATTCATGTTTACACAAACAAAAACATTATACATATGTCTATGTATCTGTATTAACATTCATAATAGAGCATTTGGAAACACACACCAGGATTGTACCTATGATTTCTGGATGGGATTATTGGTGTTCTTTATACTTAAACAGTATTTTATGATATTTTTCTATAAAGAGTATATTTATTTTTGTAAAAGGAACAGTTTGGGTTTTTGACGGCATTAATCTGCAAACCAATTTAGAGAGTTTCTATGTAGTAAAATGCTTTAAGTACATGAAATTTGTATGAGAAAGGTAAATGGAGTTTATAGACAGTAGTGATGGTCTCAACAGACATTCCGAATTGGCACATTTACTTTTCAGTTATTCTTAAGGTCAGACATAATTATAAGAACATAAATATCTTTTATTATGGGTAATAACAATTTACAATATGATGACTACTTTGTGGTTCTAGTTTTGCTGAACATAGTTACCCCTACATGTATCAGAGCATTATTTAAAGATGACTGATACACTTACTAAATATTTGATACAAATATTTGGAACTAGTAAGATTCTTTGCATATGTTTAAAAGTAAAAAATACTTTTGCTCCAAAAATATACTTCTATCCCATGTTGATTTTTATATTATAATCTACTAGTTAACTGTATGTTATCCATTTTATGGGAAAATAATGTTTTGTTTCTTTGCAGTGAACCCCATGCACGATTCTATGCAGCTCAGATAGTGCTAACATTCGAGTACCTCCATTCACTAGACCTCATCTACAGAGATCTAAAACCTGAAAATCTCTTAATTGACCATCAAGGTTATATCCAGGTATGCCTTGAACGCATAGTATACTTTATTTTAGAAACTGCTAGGCAAGAAATTTTATGTATTTAACCCCAAATACCAATATTGATTATTTTTTCCTTTGAAGGGAACATATGATTCTCCCTAATGGCTTAAATTGAACTCATAGTTCTGCAACTTTTGAAAACACCATGAATCCTATCAAAGATGGAACCTCTTTATATTTCCAATAATTTATATGTGTAAAGTAGCACAGGCTCCTGTAAAAAGAAATAATAATAGCTATATTTGTGACCACTCCTTAGTACCAGACATTTTCCAAGTATTGTACACATGTATTAACTCTCTCTTTATCCTGATAAGGTATAGGTACTGTAATCTTCATTTTCAGTCTGAGGAAACTGAGGCACAGTAAGGTCACACAGCCAGTAAATGGTGTCAGGATTTAAATCTAGCCTGTTCCCAGAATACATGTTCTTTCCCCCTACAATAAACCTGCCGAATGAGCCCAATACCAATATTTGAGTGGTGACAATGTTTTCTTTCCATTTGTACTTTATAAAGTGGAAGCATCCCTTTTTTTACACAGTATCAATAGACTGCCCCATTGGTGCTTTTGCACATTTGGTGGTGCAGTTAATGACAGAAGACGCACTAAGCTTAGGGAAGACTTCTAGCACTGTGGACAGTTTTTTCAATTTTATTAAAATGAGCTTTACCTTTTGTTTTGGGAGCTCTGGTGGCATAGTGCCTAAGGCATTTGACTGCCTTTTATTTTAACTTTTTTATTTCTTGGATCTGGAATCTTAGGATAATAATTGGAGAAAGGTTTTATATTGTTCTTCATTTGTTTGTTTGTTTTGGGTGGAGAAAGAATCCTCCAGCTTGGGTTGTTTTAGCCTTCATGCACTAAACAGTGGCTTTAATTACATTGACTTAGTTTTTTCCTCTTTTTTTTTTTTTCATGGCTTAAATTTTAACCTTGAATTTTTTATTTTAAATGTAGGTAACGTAGTAGAAACACTAACTGTTCACAATATTTTTTTTTTCTTTTATAGGTCACAGATTTTGGGTTTGCCAAAAGAGTTAAAGGCAGAACTTGGACATTATGTGGTACTCCAGAATATTTGGCTCCAGAAATAATCCTCAGCAAGGTACATTTATAATGGCATTATATAAAAATTGGGAGCTCTGGTGGGTATAGTGCCTAAGGTACTTGACTGCTAACCAGAAGGCTGGCGGTTCAAACCCACCAGCCATTCCTCGGAAGGAAGATTGAGCAGTCTACTTCCATAGAGATACCACCTCAGAAACCCAAGGAGGGGTCGCTATGAGTCAAGTCAACTCAACAATGAGTTTTTTTGATTTATATAAGAATTAGAAATATGTGATCTTTTACAAACACTAGTTACTGATCTAATGTTATATTTTTTTATTTAATCTAAGTTATGAATTTAAATCTAATTGTTCATATCTACTATAGAGTGATTATTTATAGTCTACGATTAATCCCATAAAAAAACACCAAACCAAACTCACTGCCATTGAGTTGATCCCAACTCATAGCGACCCTTCCTTGGGTTTCCGAGGAGTTATCTCTATGGAAGTAGATTGGCCAGTCTTCCTTCGGAGAAGTAGCTGGTGGGTTGGAACTGCCAGCCTTCTGGTTAGCAGTCAGGTGCCTTCGGCACTATGCTACCAGAGCTCCTTAAAGAAACTATAATCATTTCTAAACAGGTGGTTTGATTTTCTTTCCTCTGCTACTCTTTGGTGGTAAAACATAGAAAGGAGAAACTAACAATAATTGGACACAAGTAGAAAGAAGGACAGAGAAAGGGATAAGACACTTGTTTGATAGTCCACAAACTGAATGAAGTACCAGCTGAGTAACTGAAATTTGGCTAACTTAATACAAATAGTTGAATGAAATGAAAGATTTTTTTCAGCTTTCCTCTCATTATCATAATTTATACCATATATTACAGTTTTTATAATCTTAATATCACTGCAATTTCATCTTCTTTAAGTTTGCTTGGCAAATAGTGTGACTACAAAATAAATACCAAAACTCTAAAATTTGTCCTTATATTATAAAAGTAATAAATGTGCATGTTTTGGAAAATACAAAAAATATAAAGATACACCCCAAAAAATCTATAATCTCACCACCCAGAAACAACTTGTTTTAAAACTTTCACACATTTTGGTTTTACTTTTCCTATGCATGTGTCCTGCTTTTTTCACTTGAATAATAACAGTTATGCAAACATCATTCCAATGGCTTGTGCAGATGTACCATTCCGCTATTGTTCTTTAATTTTAATTTTTAAATTTTAATTTGTCCTATTATAAATACTGTGATAAATATATTTATGAATAAAGCTATGTGTGTATTTCCAAGTACCTACATAGGATAGATTCCCAGAAATGAAATTACTGGGTCAACTCTTCTCTCAGGCAGCTACTGGCTGCTGAGGCTGACAAGCCCAAGGTTGACAAATAAAATGGCACAGTTCCAATGTTACCAAACCACACAGCAGGCCATTAATTCAAGTCCATTGAAAGTCCCAAGGTCGTCATAGCATTGCAGGCTGTTGAACAACGACACGGCTACTACATGCAGGGTTTGAGTGTGCCATAAGCTAGAGACATTCCAAAAGCTGTTTCTTATATATGGAAAGCAGACCACATACCCAAAGCCAGCTACTCAGCTGCTCAGAGTAGAGTCTACCATGGAGTTGATTATCAGTCTCATCATGGGGAATACTACATCCAGCTGCCCAGCCACTCAACCAGGCCTAACGAAGTTGACACACAAACTTAACCACTACAGTATCTCATTGTTTTAATTCTGATTTCTTTATAAGATTTTTAAATCCTTAATAAAAATATCCAAACCCACTGCCATCAAGTCAGTTCGGACTCATAGTGACTCCCATTGGGTTTCCAAGGTGGCAAATCGTTATGGAAGTGGATTGCCCCATCTTTGAACCACTGACCTTCTGGTTAGCAGTCAAATACTGTTTCTTAGTTGTGTGTGTGTGAATTGTTAATCCATACCATTTCCCTATGTATCTACTATAATTTACTTTCTTTTTTATTGATTTGTTTTAATTTTATATACTTAGGGATATTGAAAGGAGCTCTGGTGGTGTGATGTCTAAGGCATTTGACTGTTAACCAGTAGGTTGGTGGTTCAAACCCACCAGCCACTCTGCAGAAGGAAGACTAGGCAATCTACTTCCATAAAGATTTACTGCCTCAGAAACCCTAAAGGGGTTGCTATGAGTTGGAATTGACTCAGTGGCAGTGAGTTGTTTTTTTTTTTGATTTAGAGATACTGAATTGTATCTGACATTTATTATGTCAGACCTAGCAGACAACCTAACACATAGAAATCAATGTTCATTTTGAAGGGTCTAGTTCAACATTACATGTTTCTGTTGTATTGAATTAAAAGTTTTGAATGAAAAGAGATAAAGCAAAGTTGATGCCCATTTCTTTTAGCAAAACAAAATGCTATTGCTATTATACCAATCTCTCCCTTTAAGAAATGAAAAGAAGCAAGAAAAAAAGAAGAGAAAGCTCTGTATTTTAGCTAAAAGTTTGAAAACTAATTTGTTAAACTAAAATTTTGACAGAAAGTTCAGGTATGGAGAGTGCTGATGGTAATTAGAGAATACATTGGAGTATAAAACAAAAGATCTGAGAACTCAGCTCATTTCTCTCCACAAGATTTTTTTCTGCATAATCTTTTGTGCCCATTGACACTGATCATACTTGATAATAAACTTTATATAAACAAATGTTAATATTTTGTTCTTATTTATTTATTTTCTTATTGAATACTTCTAGGTGTTAATTTTGTAAGCTTATATGAAAAAGCAAACACAACTGAAAGTAACATTTGAAATATACATTTGGTTCACAAATTACTTTTTATACACTTCATTTTCTTTCATTTATAATCCTCACAAAACCCTATAAATTAGTTATCTTTCCTATATAGCTTTTATATATATCAATGTTTCATATATAGAGATATATATATATATATATATATATATATATATGCAAAAGGGTAGATGGCTAAAGTAAAATATATTTAAATATGTAACTTTATTGGGTTCTATATTATACTTCTAGCTTTCACAAGCTTCTGTGAAGTAGTCAGACTTTTCTCAAATACATTCACCCTTATAATTCCAACAGTGTAAGAGTATTTTGAAGTCAACTCCATTATTGTCTATGAAGCCTCACATCTACCATTTTGTTCAACACTTTTGACCTTCCAATGATATGCTGCAGAAAATGTGAATTGTTAAGATTATGAACCTGGAATGGGCCTTAAGAGATAATTTGGTCCAACTCTCTTCCTGCTACTGGGCAACAACTAACTTATCCCAAATAAATAGATATCTATAATATTCTTAATGAGTCTAGGAAAAAGCGTTAATAATCTTCCCTAGTAGCCATTTCCAATGTATGGAAATTCTCCCTTCTAATTTGTACCTGATCTGATAGTGTTTGCTCATTTCTTATCTATCCTGAATAGCTGCTCAGCAACTGCTATTTAAAAAATTTTATATGCTTGAAAATTATTTTGAAATCATTTCTGACCTCATTTTCTTCTTAATAAATTAAGTAATAATTGATATTTGGTGTTTATCTCAGGGCTACAATAAGGCAGTGGATTGGTGGGCATTAGGAGTGTTAATCTATGAAATGGCAGCTGGCTATCCCCCATTCTTTGCAGACCAACCAATTCAGATTTATGAAAAGATTGTTTCTGGAAAGGTAAGTAATGCATCTTATTATTATTCTATTTTCATTATGTTCTATGCATGAATTTTAAGCTTTGTAGACTGAAGCCCTATCATGTCATCACACACATTCCTAAAGTGGGAAAAATATAAAACAATCCACAGTTGCTGCCCTTGTATCTAGCAATCAGTTAATATAGCAGCATAAATATTGAATCATTGAAGTCTCTTAAAGGAAAAAGAGCAATCAGATTAGGAAAGTACTAGAGCATTTTTCATTTTTACTGTTTTTATCATTTGTAAACCATGGGATCATAAATAAATAATAAATAATAAATTGCTTTTATAACAAATAAATAATAATTGTTCTTTCATGTAGCTATCACCTTTGAGAGGAGTTTTAGGAACTGTTTTTATATGCCCTTGCTTTTCCAGGAAAGACTTCATGCTTGAATTATGTTAAATACCCCAAAGTTGGAAGTAAATACAAAATGGATAACCCTTTTTAGCATGGAAACACAAAGAAGTTATTTTAACAGCATTATTCATGTTGATTGTGACTATAATTACCATAGATTTTCAACAAATAGGGAAATAACATTAATTGTTCTTAAATGTGAATGTTGTTGTTGTTGTTACGTGCTGTTGAGTCAGACCCGACTCATAGTGACCCCTCCTTGAGTTTCCGAGGCAATATCACTACGGAAGTGGATTCCCCCATCTTCCTTCCGAGTAAATGTGAATAGACTTACTATGATTATAGTATATATATAAACATTATACATTATGTAATTACTCCATGAATTTTCCTTCTTTTGTGTTTAGAATCCTTATTTTGATTCTAGAAGTATTTTGTTTAGGACCCATCATTTGTTTTGCCCTAGCTCATGTCTCAGAAGATCTCTTTAAAAATACTGCAGTCATTTTCAGCAGAGATGAGCCAGATTCTTCCTACTATGTAGCAAACAAAGAGTAGGCTTTTAAACATTCCCAAAAGGAGGCCTTCTTTATGTTTATGATAGAGTATATGGGAAGGGAAATTATTGAAGATAATTTCAATAATAATTTTCTTTGTACATGTGGTAAGCTCTGTTATTTTGTTCTCTACTTTTTTCTAGACCACACAGTTCCATTTAGAGTATGGTCAGGAAATAGAGTATCAATCTGGATATCACATTACCCAGAAATGGGATGAAGTTGACTTCTTTGTACTTTTCATCCTTCCTGGGTAGAAATAAGTCTGATCATCCTAAGGAGTCTGGAAGAGTTAGAGGGAAAGTCTGTTTCTTTGTATCTCAGCAAGATTTGATCTCTACATTTAGTGTGAAAGCTGACCCTCACAATTCATGAACTTAAAGTTTACAGTGTTAAGTAATCACAAGGTACCCTGAATGTCCATGATATAGTAATTTATCTTTTTTGCCAAAAAACAAATTTAAATCATAGATGTTGCATAGCTAGGGTATAGGAACAAGACACTTATGAATAGAATAAATCTTACCAACGACCTAGAATCCATATCTTAATACACTACTGTTGTTCTAGATCTCAAAGTGCATATGCAGTTTACAAGGGTCACAAGATTTTCATTTTATGGGGAAAGCTTTATGTTATGACTTTATGTTACTGCATTTTGTAGGGAAACCTTTATGATATGGCAGTAGTCTCAAATTACGTGAGTAACAGAATATATACCTTAACTATGTCAAAAGTAAAAAAATATATACCTCTTATACATAAACTAAGCTAGGTGTTAAAAGATTTATACAGACAAAAGTAGTATAGGAAGGCAGAATGCAGCGTTTCTTTCAAGTAATTAAATATCACTGCTGTTTTTACATTTGTAGATCTCAAAGCTTCAGATTTCTTACCTATTTTCCCCTAGAATATTAAGAGTTGCAGTAAAAGAGCTTTTGAGATGAAACAAAACATGGAAAAAATTAATAAAGTAGTGATCTATTTTTTAAGAACTTCAGAAGTGAGCATGAAAAGTCTGAAGAGACAGTAATAGACAAAGATAATATGAAGATTGAGAGAACCTAGAATGCATTAAAATGCTGAATGGTAGAATAATATTTTATTAATATAAAAAACTAAGAATGCAGAATCTATAATAATAATTCCAAGTTATTTAATTAGGGGTAATTATGAAGTTCCTAAATCTTTACTAATAATGCTTTTATATTTCTTCATAAAGTAAGTCAAATTTTCTGAGAAGGATGCTGCCATAACTGAATTTTCAATAATTTAAGAAAAATTGCCTTAACCTAAATGGGTGCATTTTCATCTGTCTGAATTTGCCTCAATTTACCAGTTTTCCACATAGGTAAAATTTTCTTCAGCTAATGTTTATTAATATGCTTTTATTTCATATTTAACTTTTAGATCCAGTAATAGCTTACAATGTAAACCTACATATGTTCTAAAATCTTAACAGTTTAAATCTTAATAACTTCAGAGAAGATAATGCCAAAACCAAACCAATTGCTGTTGAGTCGATTCCTACTCATACTGACATATAGGCGAGGCAACTAACTAGCGCATAGGGGTCTAAGGCTGTAAATATTTACAGAAGAAGACTGCCTCATCTTTCTCCCACAGAGTGTCTATGGGTTAGAACCACTGACCTTTTCTTTTGTTTAGCAGGTGAATGCTTTAACCACTTTACTATCAGAGCTCCTAGAGAGGAGAGTAGCAATATAAAATTTTATCATGTCAAAATAACTGATATTTTTCTTCTTCATTTATTTATAAATGTGATAGGGCACTTGGTGTAGTTTTGTTTTTAATTAAATGTGCCAACTTATCTTTTCCCATATTTGATAAAAAAAAAAGTATTTCCATCCCATTCTCCCTTTACTCAGCTAAAGCAGAAAATACTTTCTACAAAAGTGACATATTGCTATTGAATGATCTCTAGGATTTGTATTAAGGAGCTATGGTGGTGTAGTAGTTAAGGCATTTTGGCTGGTAACCAAAAGGTTAGCAAACCCACCAGTCACTCCATGGAAGAAAGATGGGGTATTTGCTTCTATAAAGATATATAGCCATATAACCTTAGAACCTCTTCCCTGTGTCCTTCCCTCCATGCACTCCTGCCCCCTGGCTGTCTCCTTATGCAAACATTGCCCTTCTGTTCTCCCATGATTGATCACTCCATGGAGTGTATCTACCTGATATAAATGTTTACTCTTATACCTTTCTATTGCTTGGCTAGAAGTCAGGGAAGTGAGTTTAATTCCAGACCTGAAGAGTAACTAGGGGCCATAGTCTCAGGAGTCTCACTGGGCACTATCAGACAAGTAAACCTGGTCTTTTTTATGATTTTGAGTTCTGTTCCACATTATTCTCCCATTCTATCCAGGATCTCCTGCAGTGATCCCTTTCTGAGTAGTTGACAGTGGTAGCTGGGCACCATCTAGTTCTTCTGATCTCATAGTCATGTAGGTTGCAGTTTGCATGGTATACTAGTCCCTTGGACTAATTGTTTCCATGTGTCTTTGGTTTTCTTCATTCTTCTTTGTTATAGACAAGGAGACACCCATTGTTGCACCTAGATGGCCACTTGCAAGCTTTTAAGACCCCAGTTGCTACTCACCAAAGTAGGAGGTAGAACAATGTTTTTGTGTAGTATGTTGTGCCAACTGGCCTTGATGTGACCATGGTTCTGAGCCCACAGGTCCCACAACTCTTTCATCAGGGTGGTTGACTGTGCATAAGAAGTTATCATAACTTTCCCCTCTCTTAGTTCTAGTTATATGGACATTTTTACAACACATACAAATACGTATGTAGAAGTATCATCTGCCATCCTTATATATGGCTATGGGACATACTTGATCATTCAGCCTGTTTACCTATCTCTTTATCCATAGATTAATGTTTATTTTTACTGGTAATGCAGTAGTGTATATGTAAAAGGGTTTATCTTTGTTGTCTGGACCTCTTGTGCATCTTTCTGTGTCTTCCTTTTCCTTACTGTTATTGTGTTGTTCACTCACTTTTTGTATATTGCCTTTCCCTTCACCCAAATCAATACTTGTCTCTACCTATCTAGCAGTGTTGTCTTCCCTCCTCTCCCATCCCTGGTAACCAACAAAGAAAGTTTCCTTCCATATATAAACCTTTCCTTGACTTTTTACAATAGTGAACTAATACAATATTT